CACGTTCACTGCCCAAAGAAACCGTGTCACCACCCTCCTGCGTCGTGCAAAATCGAATTTCGTAAACAACTCATAAGCCCCCTCTACTTCCCTACACCCCTCATGAAGCACCTTACTACAGCTACAAAACAACGCATACCCGAACTCGTCAGCCAAGCAACTCCTGCAACGACACCAGCACAAAAAGCCGCCCTCAACGAATTCTTCATTTCACAGAGCAAGCTGTCCGTGGCCAATGCGGATGAGCAAACTCCAGCCATCAACACCACCCCTGACATCCTAAGTCCCCTTCAAGAAATCTCGACTTCCCAAGCTGAGGTAGAAAAACTCCTCCACGGAGTTGATACCAGCAAAAGCCCCAGGTTCGACTCTATTCCAAACCGCTTACTCAAAGAAGCGGCTAAGGAACTTGCACCGTCGTTATCGTCCCTCTTTAATCTATCATTCCAAACCGGAGAAATCCCACAGGAGTGGAAAGATGCCACCATTACTCCAGTACCCAAGCCTTGTGACCCTACCCAACCAACAAACTATATACCCATCTCTCTCTTGAGCACTACATCAAAAATCCAAGAAAAAATTGCACATCAACTCCTCTACAAGCACATCACACCCCACCTACCCAACCAGCAGTCCGGATTCCGTGAGAAACACGGCACTGAGCAGCAGCTTGCCCCTCTTGACCATACCCTCTCCACTACGAGAGACGACGGGAAACACGTCAATGCCTGCTTTTTTGACCTAAGCAAGGCCTTCGATCGTGTGTGGCATGCAGGCCTTCTAGCAAAACTCTCCCACTATGGTGTCCAGGGCAACCCCCTGGAGTGGTTCCGACGGTACCTGTTGGGGCGTCGGTAGAGGGTCCAGGTGGATGGCGACCTATCGCCTTTCCTCGAGATCCCTGCCGGCGTCCCTCAGGGATCTGTTCTTGGGCCGCTTCTGTAGCCAATTTGCAGATGACACCGCTCTGATTTCCATAGCGAAAACTCTTCAAGACTGCACGCGAAACCTGCAACAGAGTGTCACAGTAGCTGGAGACTGGCTTCAAAGATGGCACCTGCGTTCTACCACAATAACCGCCCCCTGTGCAGCTACCCCAGATCACCCTCAGGAATAGTCCGCTTACCGTAACACAAAAACACAAACACCTCGGAATAATTTTTCAGCATGACCTCCGTTGGACGGAGCATGTTGAATACATAGTCAAAAAATCACTCAAGTCTTTCAATATTCTTTTCAGACTAAGGTCTACACTCACCAGTGATTCTTTATCTCACATCTATCAGACATACATACTACCTATATTCTCATATGCGAGCAATGTTCTCACACCGTTATCACACACTTCCCTTGACAGGCTAGAACGACTCCAGCGGAAAGCCGCCAGAATATGTCTCCACCGTCACCTTTACACACACTTAGAACACTCCCACCTTTTGCATCGCATCAAATGGCCAACATTATTTTCACGCTTTAAAGTTAAACATATACTCTTCGCGCATTCTCTGCGCCACAATTATGCCCCACCACATATACTCTCGCTGCATACTGCTAGCAACATGCAACCTTCGTATAATTTACGTCGCTCTTGTACTTGGCACTTGCCAACTCCGCGGACTGACCACTGTCTCCATTCTCCTCTGTACAAAACCCTTCATTACTTTAATTGCTTGCCCATCCAGCTTCGCGAAATCCCTTCTCGTACTCCCTTCAAATCCGAGATATCCCTGCTGTTGCACAACTCTGTATGCTCGTGTAGCGACCACCCCTGCCCGTACACTTAAGTACACAACTCTGTATGCTCGTGTAGTGACCACCCCTGCCCGTACACTTAAGTAGTCATTAACCCCTTGGCCCTGGCCACCCAATTCTTCCTCACTCCTTCTCCTTTCTTACACTATTATCTCTTATTGGCCACTGGCTATCGTGAGAATAAAGATCTGAAACTCGCACATCGATCGTTAAGAGTGCAATCGATAATCGTTAGTGTTCAAAACGAGTGCTAACGATTTTTTATGCATGCATATTAGTGACAGTATTCTAGCCCTTGCACTCCATCCGATAGTGAATACGAGTACAATCATGTAATTTCAAGCGCAGTAAAATTGATTTGTGTGTTTGAAAGAGATCGGGAGAGAAGACGTTGCCTTTTCGGTTCATTCGTGGGAGAAGTCGGAGATGAGAGCAGTTGCCAGAGGGTGACGACAAGATTCTTCACTCTAGAAACAACATGAAGTTCTCTACTTGAGTAGGTCATGTTGATAAAACCAGCCAGATATCTACAGATGTCAACAGTGTGGTGCCACAAATTTCTAACGTAGCAAAGGTATCATAGAATTTCTTCATAAACTGGTGTTCGATAGAGCTAATAAGAATCGATAAAACCAATATATCGATCGTTAATGATATTGGTTGATTGTTAGGAGTTATTGAATGATCGTTTCAGTCCTATAATAAACCTATAGGCCCAGATAGGCGCAGACATGTTACCTCTCGAAAGGCAGCTCACAACACATGCCACACATACTGATGGTACATGTGTGGGTTTTTTGCAAATTCAATGCAAACTGTCAGAGAAAAGAACTGCCTGGAAAGAGAAAAAATGTTAACCCCACCAGGACTCGAACCTTGTTTGTCATGAGCAATGCTCTAACCTTCTGAGCTATTTTTCCAGGCTGAACTAAGAAGGTGTTGACAAGTTTTCACTGGAGAGGCATGGAAAATATCAAGAAAAGGATAAAAACTAGTGCGTATCTAATATTGACTGAGTACGAGGTCAGTATAGGAAATAAAAGCCGAGTAAAAGACTGAGGTGAAGCCGAGGTCTTTTACGAGGTTTTATTTCCTATACTGAACAAGTACGAAGTCAGTATTCGATTTATCACGACAAACAGTCCGTATTTCAAATTCCAGAACGATAACCTCATGAATCCCGGTTTTATGATTGCACAACCGTTGCACCACCACCCACTCATGCAGTGACAATGCTGCACTAGGCACCGTTCAACTGCGCAACACCTAAGCAGTCAAATATAAGCAGTCAATATAGCTCTAAGGAGTGAAATATGCAGGAATACTTGACTGCTTAGGTATAGCGAAAATCAATGGGAGTCAATACTAAGAGAGTGATCACATAGCATACTATTAATTGTTAGAATTTACCTGTCTGGAAGTTACTGGAGGATGTACCCAGTGTGCTGACAACGCGGTGTTGAGCACTGTGAGCACACTGGGTATATCCTCCGGTGACTTCCAGACAGGTGAATTCTAACAATTAATAATATGCTATGTGATCACTCTCTTAGTATTGACTCCCATTGATTTTCGCATATTTCACTCCTTAGGGCTATATCGACTGCTTATATTTGACTGCTTAGGGGTTGCGCAGTTGAACGGTGCCTAGTGCTGCCGCTACTTAACTAGCAGGACACAAGTCTTGATTGCCCTTGCTGTTTTGTCTGGAAGTTATGGTTGAAGTTTCTTTTTTAATTAACTTAAAAACAATATGTTATTGCAAAGACGTTTCTATCATTTCGAACAACACACATGATTACTGTAAAAGCCATTATTCTAACGAGGCTCATATATAACGATTTCCCAAAATTGACTGGTTTGCGTTAACCAAAGGTAACGATTCTCACTTTTTCTCAATGCTCTATACGACAGTATATGTATCGATTTCTGTGTAGCAGTCGTCACCCTTCATCCATAATTCTTCCTAAAGCTGGCACCTTCTTTCGTAAATCAACCCTTTTTTCTTTGAGTGTTGCCTGGAATAAACTTCCTGAAGATATTCGTTCACTCTCTACAACAGCGAAATTTAGTATTGCTGTTCGTCGGTATCATTCGCAATCTATGTTTTCTTTGAAAGGTATTCCTGACTTTTGTGTCTAGGCTAACCACATCTATGATAGTTTCAATAGTTTGTGTATATGTCAGTTATAGTAGTCCGCAATGCTGCTTTCCTAATTCTCATTATGATTAGCATGCAATGTACTACCCGAAGTACTGAATTTACTTCTTCTGTACTCTATATTCTAATGTATCTTCTACCTCTTCTCCCTTACGAACATACTTTCTCATTTTCCATACTTACTTAGGAGACTCCCTTCGATAGGCATCTATTTGCCTCTGGAGGATCCGTGAAATAAAAATCAATCAATCAATCAATCAATGTATAACGATTTATATTTTAACGACAGATTTATCCTCGTTAACTCGTTAGAGTTAGCACTTCGTTATATACACGGCTTTTACAGTACCTATATAAAAACAAAGCATAGTGAGGGCTCTGGGCTTCCAAGCCCTCTCGTTTATTTTTCAACCTCTGCTAGTAGTCTCCGGTAGAAAAAAAAAGAAGAAAAAAGGTAAATTATCGTATCCGTTCCCGAAGGGAACTCACGACGGCCGCTAACACCTGATAAACCCTAGCGGCAGATGCAGCACCTAACGGTGGGGGTGAGTGGGTAAGTCTCACAACCACTGGCACAAGATCCGCAAACGACCCCATTAGCTGTATCCGTGTACCCCTTGTGCCTGGACACTAGTTCCCAGTTGACTGTGGGTAGCAGCACGGCTGGAAAACCGCTCCCAGGCAGGACTTGAACCAGGTACCTCTCGTATCTCAATCATGGTCTTTGACCAACCCACTGTGCCTGCCTGGTACTGGTAGTAGGTTCCAGAAACTGACGGTGGTGACAATATCAAAAAAGTGTATTTGGTATTGCCCTCTGCAACTCGATTTTATAATCCTATTTTTAGACCAAGACCGCGGTAGACCGTCATTCTAGACAACATTGCCAGTGTACTGAAAATGTTGTTTAGAACTACGATACGCGTGGAAAAAGTATCATGAAAATTGCTATTGTTCTTGATGTGCACCAGTCTCAAGTACAGTAGTGATCAATACGGTAACCAGCGCAATTTGCCTAACCATGCAACGGCATTGTTGCGTATACCGTGTATCAAACGCATTCTGCTTTTGATGGTCCTATCTGCAGGTCTGGCTCTCATTCAATCATTTCAGGGTACAGATTACTAAAACCTCTGGCCCGTGTTGGATCTGTTGGCGCCATGCATATGAGGAAAATGTCCAAGAATATTAGCCTTGAAAGGAGTAAGTTGCTGAGGGAAACACAATGCCTAATCCCTGCACAATACAGGATTTAGATTTCTTCTCAAGTTACTATGTAGTAATTTTTCACTCAGCCTTTAGAATACCCCGAAGTTCACTTCATCATTGCAATTAGAGGCCACAGCCAAAGACCTTGCTATTCACAAGCAATCCTCTAACCAACTGAGCTACAGTAGGACTCTTATCCACAGTGATGGCAAATCTATCCTTCTTCGATCAATTAATATATGGCTTGCATCACGAATTAAAGAGGGTAATTAAAGAGATCAATATATGAAATAGAGAACGAGTAAAGGACCGAGGCGAAGCCGAGGTTTTTTACGAGGTCTATATTTCACGCATTCACCTATTATGAGGGCAACACTAGATTTATCACGACATAAAGTTTCAAAAACGTAAATTATCGTGTCCGTTTCCGAAGGGAAATCACGACATAGCATACCTAAACTGTTTTAGCTTTGTTCATAGGAAGAAAGGAATACTTATGTAATTGCAAATCGTATGCACATATGCTGTTTACATTGGACATTACGTCTCTGTAAACAGTAGTTTTCAGTTGTCAATTTTAGTCTGTTCTCCAAGTTCGTTGACTGAGAATCAGACAGTTTGGGTTCAAGTCCAACCATTTGGCTTCAGATTTGGCTTCAGATTTTTTTCTTTTTTTCTGAAGAAAATGCTGAACGGTCTCTGCTGGGATGACGACTACACCATAGCTCAGTGGTTAGAGCATCCCTAGCTACAAGCGAGGGTCCCTGGTTCGAGTCCTGGTGGTGACAGTCAATTTTTTCTTCAGACTTTTCCCGTTTGTCTCTTTCCCTCAAACTAGTGAAGATTTATTTTTTCAGTTCTGATTTTTTCTAATTTGAGGAAAAGGTTATAAGTCCTCGGGCTAAGTGCTCCATACTAGTATAATCAGTCCATTATGCTGATATTTCCCAACCAACTCAGGGATCTTTTTAAAGACCCAGTGGCGTTTAAGAAGTATTTTGACCTTCTTTTTGGAATCTGTTGAGTTTCTCGATGATCTTGATAGTTCTTGTACTAAGATTGAAGTTGACTTGGTGTTTGATTACTGTACTGCTTGATGTCTGAATTCCAATTTTTTTTCTATTTTTTCTTTCTTTTCCTTTCCTTTCCACTTATCCCGTTATCGGCCCTCTTAAGAGTTGTGTGTATCACTGTTGAGGCATCCGATGGTAAATAAAATAAATACTACTAAATAAATACTATTTGACCGCTTAGAGAGCACAAGTTTCTGTGGTGGTTAATAACAAGAGAGTGAAAAAGAGCGATATACCTCGCTGGGGTCAAACATATACCCCACTCACTTCACGCGGGTCACTCCAAGAGTAAATCAGGGATGTTCTCAGTGTTGGTCTCACTCTACTAGTATTTGGGACCGTACATGGGATATAATTTATGGATGATACGATTCGTACTCTGGGTATACCGTGTCCCTCTCATTTCCCTCGTGCTAAAGCACTCATGAAAATATGTATAGAATGAAGTTCAATGAACACCGATGCTGTAGTGTTTTGGGGAATATATTAAAGCACTCCTATGAAACTGAGGCATAGTCTATTTTTTATGAACAGTGTTTATATTCCCATAAACAATATACATGTACATGTACACCCAGAAAAGTGGTGGACATCATGCCACTGCATTGTAAATTTAAAAAATGGGACGATGGGAGACTGGCCCCAAACATCATGATTTTTCGACATCACTGATAAAAGAATTCTTCATCCAGCGCATAAATAGCAACTGAAGAGAGCGGTTGTCAGTTGACACACCCCCTTGTATAAACACAATACAGAGGTCATGGAGTTGATTGTTCCAACTAGGAACACATGCTTCTTGCCGAACTTGACACTTGACTGACTCACGACCGCCATCAGGAGCACACCAGGAGCACGCCGTACCTTCCACTCGGCAGATGTGGAAGAAAGCACCACTCCCTCCTCAATAGACAGTAGTTTGGGGAATTCACCCCTCGTCAGTTGAGCTTGTGTAAGCTGAAGATGATTGTGCCTGAAAAGTACCACTTATGTACTGCTCTCCAGGCCAAACCATCACCAGGGATACAAACTTACAGAGACACTTTGTGTTGGTGTCAATTTCGAGCAAGAAGGTGTTAGTTTTTTTTCATTTGACTCGTGAGTTTCTGTCGGCAATGAGTTGTACTTATTAGCTCAGACTACTCCGTTAGAGCAACGTCGACTAACTTGCCTCTGTATATTGGTTCATCGAATGCTCTTGGGTTGTGTTCCTGAACATTATATAAAGCCTTATAACTGGTTTGTTTTGGGCCGCGGCTCAATCAGAAACAAAGTGTCTCTTCCCAAGGCCAAATCAACGCAATTCACAAGATTACCATTCTTCCAGGGCTACTGTGCGTGGCTACAGCTTCCCGACTCAGTGAAGACTTCTGCATCATTGAAAGAATTTAAAGTGAATCTGAGGGCCTGCTGATGACTGCGTGCACCATAATAAAAAAACAAATCAATATAGCTTTTCGGCTGTTTCCTTTTCATGTATATAATCTTAAATAATCTACGTGGAGATAAAAGTTTAATAATAGCTATGAAAAGTATGAATGCCGCAGACATCACCACGCAACATGACAATTTGTTCAAGGTTTGGTTTTGTGCGTTTCCAAAATCGATTTTCACGCTCCGATCATCAGTGGAAATACGGAACTAAAGAGATCAAGGGAAAAACAAAGTATTTCCACTGATGATCGGAGCGTGAAAATCGATTTTGGAAACACACAAAACCAAACCTTGAACATATTGTCATGTTGCGTGGTGATGTCTGCGGCATTCATACTTTTCATAGCTAGTATATAATCTTCTCCTTCTTTTACCATGGTTGGCTATCGCCCACATCTTCCCGTTTTGGCTGCCATCGGAAGCCATAAGATGTTGAATAAATAAATAAAATAAATCAACTGTAGTATTTACTTATACTCGGGTGGAGAGGCAAGGATTAATTGATAAGAAGAAAAACGGATTAATTGATAAGAAGAAAAACGGATTAATTGATAAGAAGAAAAACGGATTAATTGATAAGAAGAAAAACGGATTAATTGATAAGAAGAAAACGGATTAATTGATAAGAAGAAAAGCGGATTAATTGATAAGAAGAAAAACGGATTAATTGATAAGAAGAAAAACGGATTAATTGATAAGAAGAAAAACGGATTAATTGATAAGAAGAAAGACGGATTAGTTGATAAGAAGAAAAACGGATTAATTGATAAGAAGAAAAACGGATTAATTGATAAGAAGAAAAACGGATTAATTGATAAGAAGAAAAACGGATTAGTTGATAAGAAGAAAAACGGATTAATTGATAAGAAGAAAAACGGATTAGTTGATAAGAAGAAAACGGATTGATTGATAAGAAGAAAAACGGATTAATTGATAAGAAGAAAACGGGTTAATTGATAAGAAGAAAAACGGACCAAAGAGCTACAAGTTACGCTATAAGTATCCACTTTCACCAGTTACTTTACAATCAGCTGAGTTAGGTGTGGAACGTCAGTCAGCTAGCTCAATTAGGTGGAGTCAGGTGCAATGTTATGGCATGAGCTGATTGTAGAGTACCTGGTGGTGTTAGTGGATAATAGAGTAACTGGTAGCCCTTTGGTCCTTTTTTCTTATATTATTAATTTGGCTTTGTTGAATCTTGTCATCTCTCTCATACACCGTTTTAGGGCAATGCGCATCTGTTTAAGAACTGCCTAAACTGATTCGCAGGCTGCTGTATCAACGTTCTACATGTATGGGCTGTGAGTTCCATTTGCTGGGGAGGAGAATCTTTTTTCCAGGATTGAGGCCCAGGGCGATATTGTCCACTTTTACATGTCTAGTTGACTTCAACGTGGATCGTTACTCCAAAGCAAGGGTAGATGAAACGTCGTAAGGCCAACTTGTCTTGTACGAGATAAGACCTTCAAGAGGAGCCAACATTACAGTGTTTTGCCTTTAGTTACCATGGACATGCTGTATTAATACACAAAGGCACACAATGAAAACCTTGGCAAATTTATTCCGTTGTGACTGAGTCACAACGGAATAAATTTGCCAAGGTTTTCATTGTGTGCCTTTGTGTACGCCGCTCTGTCTGAATCAGGCATTGAGCACTCTTGCAGAACCAAAGCATATTGCCTCTGTGCATGCTGTATTAATAGTAATGTTCCGCAAACTGCGCTTTGCTCAGAACAGACCGAGCGGCATGTTCAAATTCACTCCCAGTACGCTGGCACTTGATGTGGGAAACTCCCAGAAACTCGCACTATGCTTATGCTTTGCTTTACCAAATGTGTGCTATGCAGGAAGTACAGCGGCACACAGTACATACTCCATAATGGAGTATGGGACGGATCCCGAACTTCACGGCAAGCACGACAGCCATCGAGTGATGGCAGCCCTAGGAAGCACTGCAGTGCTTCCAAAGCTTTACCACAAATCTGATGATGTCCACAATGATTATGAGGACGAAGAAGATCAGAGTGGTAAAGTGGTATGGAAGAAGAATGATACTCCAGTGGAGAATCTGAATGATGCCCGTCTGGCTGTTCTCTCCAATGGTAAGTTCTCAGGGACGAGTTGATTTATTGGGACAGCAAAGTTGCATGGGTTTGTTCCACGTGTTGTGTTCATGTATATGTTCCTCTTCAATACTACACATTAAGCTCCATGCCATCAGGACCGTTCTCATCACACACTATACAGGTCCTCCCTCATTATAACCAGTCATGTTAGTACATAAACCTTGTTAGAAAATAGAAATCTGAAATCTCCTGGGGGAAATGTGGTCTCTACAACGGTTTACAGATCCGGCTACAACACAATCCTTTAGCACGCGTATTATATCATATTATCTAAGTATTTGTAACGGCTGCAGAATGTTGGAGTCTGCCTTGTTCGTCCAGTCCTGCCAATGTGTCATGCAAGTAATGTCTTTTTCCTGAACGTTCAAACCGTTTTACATCTGTGCATGTGAAAATGGTTTACCGGTACCCATGTGGTGTAGCTTTTGACTACTTGGTTCTCGGCTGTAGTCTATAAGTAGAATTGTACTCTCATGTATACTCTCGTGCTTTGCCACCCTGTGCTCAGCTGCCGGCTGTTATGATAGCTGTATTCATCCGTTTCCAGTTGTAATGTTGAAGTTGATCTTTCGTGTGTTTTTAGGACGGTCTTTTTTATTCATTTTGCCTATTCTGCGGTTGCACATGTGTGTTCACCTCATTGGCCTCACTCGTTCCTCATTTCTTCAGTTCATTTGGCTTATGCGAAGACTAGCCAAGCTTGCTTGGTGATGTCAACGCGAACAAGAAAGTTATAATAATAATAATAATAATTTGAAACTCGGATGTTGAGCCATAAATAAATGTAAAAGAGAAAAGGACAGTAACAATCGACATTCTTTGTTCCGTTGGGACTGTAGCTTTTGCTCGTTTTCGTTGCGCTTGCCTTCCCCTCTTTGGTCTTTCCATAACCTTGAACCTTCCAAGTTGGAAGGCTGTCGGTTAGCGCTACGGAGATGTGTTGAAGTTAGGTGTCAGGACGTCGAATGTCTCAGTACTCTGTCAGTTTTGTGCCTAGTTATTGCACTTTCTGACTGTATATGGGCCGCGATCAGCTAAAACATGTCTTTGGGGTTTCGTAAAAAAGTTGGGAAATGACGAAATGAAAAAAATGGTTTTTTGGAGCGCGTTTACTCTGCACTTCATTCAAAAATTCATGATCGATGTGGCGATCATCTTCTCAAATTTTGTTCAAACACTTGTTTGGCCGGTTCTACTTCAAGTAGCTGGCGAGCAAAGACTTGACAATGTCCGCATCTAGTGATAATAGAGCAGCTCGCAGGGCCAGACGATCGCTGTGCATGGCCCAGGTTTGTTCAGGTGTCTGCAAGTCCGTGGCGGCGGGTCTGCAGAGCGACGCTGACATTTTGTTGGGATCTCATTGATGTTGATGTCGACAGCGAAGCTGAATCGTCCCCGTCGTCTCCAGTAGCGAAGAGGCACAAGTTGTGGGCTAGTACATAATCATTTAGGCGGCGAACCGGCTGCCTTACGACGTTACTTGCGTTCAGCTCTCATGAGGCGTCTGACGCAGTCTCGGAAACGCAGGCGACGATCGAAAGTGTCACTGCCAGAATCGAAAGAGTATGCAATTGCAACGCCGCCCAGCGCATCGTGTTGCTTTCCAGGAAGAACTTGGGCCATGCCTTTGAACTGATGTCGTTGACATGCTCAAGTCGGTGTCAACATCTTTAGTTCCGTTGTATTGTGCTCCGCCACAAAAGCCACTAAGTAATACATGTAGTTTGTCTCTTTGTGTCAGACTGTGCGAAAACTGTCATTTTCTATTAATTTTCAAAGTACATATTTTGAAAGCGGTGTTTGGGGCACTTGTAGACTACTTTTCTGCCCTGTATCACCTTCAAGAGGTCAAGTAAGGTCCCAAGAACTGTTTTCTGGAGGAAAACAAAATTTGAAAATTTTCACCCTAAGACATGTTTTAGCTGGTTGTGGCCCATATAGTATCATGTTACAGTGATGGAGAGTTACTCTTAACTCGTAACCATGTGTCCTTTTCTCTTTTAAATAATAATAATAATAATACAAAAAATGTATTATCTACGCATGCATCTACGCAAGAGTCACCACCAGCCAATTAGGACATGTGTCAAAGTATTGAACGTTTTCGTTCCCTTCTTGTCAAAATACTACAGGGAATGATGGAAATAAGCTAAAAGACTACAACTATAAGGAAAAGAAGTTCAGAAATATATCACTCCAATTATGTGTAGAAGTGACACGAAAAAATAGATGTGAAGAATCAAGAAAACAGCATGCAAATCCAATAAGTGACAAAAACGTAGTGACAAGAAAAAGAGAGAAATATCAAGAGATCTATTTCGCACCTTCACGAAGGTGCGAAATAGATCTCTTGATATTTCTCTCTTTTTCTTGTCACTACGTTTTTGTCACTTATTGGATTTGCATGCTGTTTTCTTGATTCTTCACATCTATTTTCGTGTCACTTCTACACATAATTGGAGTGATATATTTCTGAACTTCTTTTCCTTATAGTTGTAGTCTTTTAGCTTATTTCCATCATTCCCTGTAGTATTTTGACAAGAAGGGAACGAAAACGTTCAATACTTTGACACATGTCCTAATTGGCTGGTGGTGACTCTTGCGTAGATGCATGCGTAGATAATACATTTTTTGTAATATTTTTTGCCTCCGTCCTACTTTCAAATAATAATAATAATAATAATAATCAACGCAATAAATAGAGTAAGCTGCGCACTCAGTACAAACACCATAAGCAAAACTTGTTTTCATGTAAATAAAGAAGCTTGTTCCTAAACGTTTTCGTCGCCATCTCATCAGAGGATTACTGGCAAATCAACAATAGCTCTTAACTCAATATATACGCACAATGCAAGTAATAATTTAGACACTAACAGGTTTTGCTATTGGTGTTTGTACTGAGTGCGCAGCTTACTCTATTTATTGCGTTGATTATATTTTTATCTCCACGTAAGCTTTTTAATAATACTAATAATAAGTAATAATAAGTATTCGTAGATATGGACGATGCTTTACACCCTAGGAACAGCTGTGATCGGATAATTGTCGATAATTTATGTTGTACTGAAGGTATCCCATATAAGTACGAATCGGTGCTTCTTTTATCTTTAGTTGAAAGTCGTGATACAAGATAAATCTCATAATAAGAGATTATCTACTAATGAGGGAGCACCTGAATCCAAAATCTTCCTTTCTCAGAGCAACACAAACTACAGAAATGCAAAAACAAACAGTGTATGGAGAAAAAATATATAGACGAGTGATTTCAACAAACCGTTAGGCCAGCATCTATACGACATAAAATCTGTTACCACTTTGTGCATACAAATTTCGAAATTAGGCTGTGCAATTGTTGAGATACAGCAAGGGTGATACTCCCAAGACACAACGGACAACGGGAGCAGGTAGGTGGAACAACATATATTGTGGGAGACAGAGACGAACGAAAAGACTACATTGTGGAACTTGCGTACAGCTCAAATTTTCATGTTTCACAGTCCTGAAATCTGCCAAGTTTGCATGATTTAGACGTCCTGTTTTAGGATTTCGGCATTTTTGCGTGACTGCGTACGCTGTGTACATCTGCTGGCAAGTGAATTCACCAGGCTAGCCGTATCAAAAAACCGAAATCAGGAAAAACTCAGTGACCTGCACCACCGTGACTGGTTGTGCAACTTTTCACCGTACCTGTGGCTATTACCATGCTGTCAGAAATGACGTACTGCATGGACTACACTCCCACATTAACCATCCTGAGTTGCACACTCTGGTTTATGTACTCTTGGAATTAAAGACAAAGGTAAATTCTTTAGAGAACGCTGTTGAGGTCATGATGGCTCAGTCTTGCGCGGGGAAAGAGCTCGAAGGTCATAGGCAATAATTGAAAGATCTGAGCCATCATGACCGAAAAAGGCCATACTTGATTTCAGCTCGTACAATAGCTACATGAGTTTAAGGGAAAGTACCGTGAAAAATGAAAACTTTCAGGGTTCGTAGAGTTGGCTCACTGAGTGGAATGGCCTTTGTCTGAGCAGGCCACGGTCAATGGTTCGTCAGATATGCCCAATGGAACTTGTGCAATTTTGAGCGCACAGTTTACCTGATACAGGTGATGATGCCAAATCCAGGTGATGATGTCACACCATGCACCCTAGTAGCTACATCATCATCTAGTTGTGTACAAAATGAGCAATGTCAGGGCTCACCACGCCAGTACAAAGCGTCAATAACAATCATTTGGATTTGATCAATCGGCGCACGGCAAAACGGGCTGTTTCTTGCAATTGTGGGGTGTTTTCTGAGCTTGACTTGGCTGTATTCGTTGGTTTTAGACATTAGGCCATTGCGGATTCGTGTTCAGAATGTGTGTTTTTGGAGGGTTACCGTCTCGAATTTTTCGATTTGGCCTTCATTTGGCTGAGATCGGATGGTGAAATCACTCAAACTCGAAGACGTGTGAACAAGTGAATGAAGACAAAATATAAAAATCGGGGACGATAAACCGATAGAGAATTCCAAGGCCTTGAAAACGAGCTATCGACAATGAGAATTGGCCAAGTAGAACCGCTGAAGTACTTTTTGACGATATCGAGGTCGGCCTTGCGTTCCTGTGCGCACCAACAAAACCAGGCAGCCGTGTGCATACATGCAAATGCAACAAGAAAGGACCAAGGAGACAGCAAGTTTTCCAAGTGAAGAGTTTACCTTCGTGTTGACTTAACCTAAGGACTCAGGCAAGTCAGGGATCATACCAGTCCCTACTTGTCACTATGGTCATGACTAAGGAATTCATTTGTGGCCAGGAAAATCCACACTCGCAGGGTGAAAGCTGCGAGGCCAAACAGAAAAGATTGTGCCGAATCGGGATCAGGAAACACTGAGGTCTACTGACAACATTGGTTAGCTAGGTGCGGCAAATTATTGTAGATGCCAATACTCCAGTTCACCAGTACCTCACGGACATATCTTGGCCGACACACATCAGAGGATTGACAAAAGGACCAAGATGGCTTGGAGAAAGGAAGTCTTCTCCGTGTGTCTTTCCCGGCATCAAACAACAAGATTCGCTTCTGCACTGGCCCTTTGCTGTACATCCTAGACCAGGAGTCGTAAAATACCAGTATTTTACGACTCGTCTGTACATCGCTGTACATCGACCAGCATTAACTCGGGTGCGTAGACGCTATGACTGCACAAACTCAGGTCTAGCGGCAGTCGCCATTTAAAAAAAAATGGTGGTTGAGGCTTTTTGTATTTTGTATGGTCGTGGTGAGCCCTGAATGTTCGGAATGCGTTTGATTGGAGAACCGTTTGTCGCAGCTTTTTCCGCGACAAAGACCATTCGATTCGGGTTTTGAATCAACATACATACTCTGAGGTTTATAGTTGGTTTTGAGTCGGACTTTTTACGTGCTCTGGCTGCATGCGTACATTGTTGCATGCAGTCAAGAGACCTATGCCTCGGAATAGTGCAGGACTTCTCCCGCACTGTCATGCATGCAAAGTGAGTGGTGAGGTACAAGTCGTAAGACGCATACTTTTCATGTAAATGTCTACTGTGCTTGCTAGACAACCCCGGGGGTCTCAACTGTTTTCTCTTAGAACGAGTACTATCTGCCATCCGGACTGGCATGCACGCATTTCAGGCATCACCTGATTATGTATACTTGTCTACTAATGAGGGGGGTTGTCTTGTAACCGGTGACGTACTACCAATGGTAGAACTGTACGACTCGTATCATTCGCATCTAATTTGGGAAGGTGTACTCCTCCTAGCTGGTCGTTATGCTTTGAGAAAGAAATATTTTAGTTTTCCGCATGAAATAGTCCAGCCTCATTTATGCTACATTGATGAGTCCACCACCCTGACAAGTGACAAAACAGTGAACAGCTGCCGGACCTAAAACGTGAAGATCTCATAATGTTGTGAGACTTGAATCGCGGAGTCGTGCCCGTGGTTAAAAGAGCCTCCACTGCTCTCCAATCGAGCAACGTCCGAAATACACCATGCTTGCACAATAAACGACTGTATGGCACCTCACTGGAGTCCAAGCGAGTTGGTATCAAAAAACATTTAGAGCACTCGCATCACCTTTCTCCATTTTGTCGACTCTAGTCTCCAGAGATGACAATTATATCGGCCTCGTCTGCAGTAGATGCTTCTTCTTCATTTGTCGCAGATGCTCACTCTTGACCGGCCCCCACAGTCATTTATGTAGCTGAGTACCAAGATTCTGAGCTGCAGACTGAACTCATGAAGGTCAGCTATGGCTCTATCCCCATTCTCACATCGAGGTATGTCTTAGGGGTAGCTCGTACTACCATCTATCGGTCGCCGAATTATTTGAAATGGCATTGGCACTATTGTTTCATGCACTCTTTTTGACGTAGCTGCAAGCTATGAAATTGCAGATGGTGTGTTACGGACTCAAGACGTCATGTGCAAACAGAAATATTCTTTGTCAGAAACACGTGGGACTAACGCCATTCTACTCCGCGCCCAAACTCCTTATCCAGAATTGTTTTCTTTTTACTGGATCTCCCCTCTAAGGGTCAGTAATCAAAAAATCAAACTGTGAATGCACCGATTTCCCCAAAATATTGTCAGACGGGCATGATTTTATGCTAATTATGTCCTTGCGATGGAGTGCGGTTATGGGTTGTAAGGTAGCCAGCTAGTGAAGCAATTGACCAGTGGTAAAAAGATTTATATCAAGTGGATACAGCAGGAGGGAAAGAGGGTGAAGCTTACAGGCCAGGGGCAAACAAATATATTGGGTTTGCAGTGAAGACGAAGACAACAAATAAAGTCAAAGCCGATAGTCAACCACATACAGGAGTGATGCCATTTTGGTTGGATTTGCCATGGCTACGTTACCATAGCTACATTACCATAGCTAAATTACCATAGCTACATTACCATAGCTACATTACCATAATTACATTACCATAGCTACATTACCATAGCTTCATTACCATAGCTACATTACCATAGCTACATCACCATAGCTACATTACCATAGCTACATTACCATAGGATGGGAAATTGTACAGTGTCAAAGTGACCACAATGCCCAGTAGTAGTAGTACAGTGGTCCCTTTATAATCCGGCACCATTTGTGCCACGTAAATCTGCTGGATTAGGGAGGGTGCTGGATTAACAAATCTGATCTACTGCTGCAATGTGCATGAAGAGGACATTTGGCTACTGAAAATTGTGCCGGTTTATCGAGGGTGCTGGATTATAAAGTGCCGGATTAGAGAGGGACGACTGTAGTAGTAGTAGTAGTAGTAGTAGTAGTAGTAGTAGTAGTAATACATGACGCACGCTGAGCATGTCGTTAGCGTATTCAATGGGTTCTAACACTCACTGAGTTATTGTGTTATTTTCACTTCTGTAATATCGCTTGGGAGGATATTCTGTGCTGTGCAGTTATGGGCAATCAGTTTGCACTACGTCTTCCATATATGTATGCTGCTGGGTATAGTATAATCTTGGTCTGCTTGCTTTCTGGTCATAATTATGTCATTACATTTTACAGTGTTGGTATGCTTCTGTTTAAAAAATCTTTTCTCTCTTTCTGAATAACGTAGGTGATCTAAGTATTGACAATGCTGTTGTCGAGGATTCTGGTACCTACTCTTGGAGTGAAGTGGACAAGACACAGTCGCAAGCTGATGTGCACAGTATCATTTTGACTGTTGAGCCAATGGTTCTACCAGGTAATGTGCAATGTTTTGTTTGTTAGTTGTAAGTTCCACTCTGTTTGGTACTTGTATATGCAGCTCGATCACAACAAACCCATTGACAAATGTACTGCCATGGCACGATCACTCTCTGGTGGCGGGTGGTACATCTGTGTTGCTGGTTAAAATATATCCCTGCCATTAGTTTCATTGCAATTGTCTGCTTCGATAGATTTGCTTTGCCATCTCAAACACAATCCTTTGTGTGCCTGCTCTACCCTGGATCACTTCTCTGGGGGGGGGGGGGGGGGGAGGGAGGGGTGGATCTTTGTGACCTTGGTCAATCAAGTGAACCTTACTCGTAGCAGCATACATAGACTTCTAACATGATTACCGGTGTGGTTAACAAGTGTTGCTGTGCACATGCAAGTTAGCATATGCCACACAGTCACCACTAGAAAAATTTGTGAGGCCTTTCACACAATTCCTTTTCTTGTGCACTAATTTAATTCTTTTTACATTATAAACCACAAACCATTACGGTGCACACGCCGGAAAAAACGCACAGAGATGCACATAGTGGTGGCAGCCAGGAGGCGGGGCAAGAGCAGCTAAACCGACAAGGGGTCTCGGTTTCAGCACTGCTCATGCGGGCCAATATGTACCTCAGTACACACAGCTAAGGTTTCAGCTTAACAAAGCACACTATCGCTAGCACAGCCATGTGAGCTTTGCTGTGCGCTCCCACTTGAATATTGAAGTGTGAGTGGACGCAGCCTGAAATGAATTTGTATTTTGACTTTTGAATTCAATCAGGACTCTTGGATGTGTGCATGACTGTGATCTTTGCTGGCAGGATATTTGACTAATTTGAATGAAGAACTAGAGGCCGACCGAACGTATTATGAGACAGTTCAAAAGGATGCACTGCGTGGATTGGAAGCTGCAAACAGTCCGGCGGCTTTATCTGGTATGTCTATTAGAATATTATTATGCCTATATGATAGAACTGTGTGCATTTCACTTTCAAGTAGAATCAATGGTCGGACTTTTATGAGATTAAATTTTCCTTATTTTCAAACGATATTGTTGTTATGGACTCAGATGGCATGAGCTGATTGTTTAGTAGCTGGTGGTGTTAGTGGACAGTATAGCGTAACTTGTAGTTCCTTGGTCTATCTCTTTTGTATAGATATTGTTGTTGTTTGTTTATTTAAAGTCGAAGAACAAACAGGCAAATTTGCCTAATTACATGATATTGACTAAAAGAAGAATATAAGACTTGAATTGGTTTCAGGCAATATTGCACATTCAGCATATACTTGCTATGACGGAACGCATTAAAACATGTTGGCAGTGGCATTGTAGTCACGGCTTGTAGAAAACACACAAAACAGCAACCTGCCAACTTGGAGCACTCCGGTTAAGGATAGGCTAGGGAGTATCTCCACTTCGACTTCCTTTGATTGAAGACAAATTTCGGCACGCATTCATGTAGCCATAAAATCCTTCATGAACCGAGTTAACCGAGGGTTAATAAATGTCTGCCTCTTCACGTACTACACATGACCAATCAATGTAGACTGCCAATCATATGTGTTGTAGATTCTACGAGTGCGTAGCTGCCATCATTAGCTTTCCAGAGAGTGGTTGTTTGTGAGAAATGGCCAAAGTAGAGGAGAGATATACCCAAAGTCGTATTTTTGTAGACTGTGACTTGACTCAATTGCGAAAATAATGGGTAGTGAAAGGGCTAAAGTATACTTGTGTGATTACCTTTACTTCATTGTATTTCTCAGGTCAAGCCCCCACACAAACTGTTGCCGATGCAACTCTAGATATATATGACGATGTGGCTTTCGAACCCTCCTTTAATCCTGATGGGTCTATTCCTATCAAATCTAAACCTGCAGGTAGGGTGCTCAGATCACATTTCGTGTTTCTAGAAGTGTGCGTGCAGAATGATAATATTATTACTTTGGAAAGAATCTTTAGCCATGTTCGTGTTTAGCCTCAAGATTATAGACTTCTTTTGAAATACGTGCTTTTTATAGATTTCAGACGAATGCGAGCATGCATGCAGCAATGAACTCATTCATGCACCGTGTTAATGAAATGTATACTTTTGCATTCACGCCACATTACGAGATAGTGGTAGCGACTTTGGCGATGATTTTATAGGAAGTCCTCTCACGGGGGGTCTGTAAGTTTGTATCCCTGGTTATGGTTCGGCCTGGAGAGCACCATATGAGTTGTGCTCTTCAGACACAATCATCCTCAGCCTACTCAAGCTCAACTGATGAGGGGTGAATTCCACAAAACACTTTGTATTAAGAGGGAGTGATGCTTTCTTGCAGGTTTGCTGAGTCAAAGATCCAATGAATTTCTCATGTGCTCTGGATGCCAGCCATCAGGCAGTCAAGTGTCAAGCCTAGTTGGCGGAAAATCCCCAGCTACCGTGTGGGGAGCAAACATCTTTGCAATTCATTCCCGCTCATGACTAGTGAACTTAAAACAGAGAGGTTCCAGGCTGTCCAATAGAATGCTCAATGCCGGAAGGCAGAGCTAGTTCCAACACGAATAAGAGAATGAAAAAAGGGTTTTTACTCCGTGTTGCACAAAGTAAGTGAAAAGAAGTCCGCCATTACAGCCGTGGATTCCTCCTCGGAGCTGCCCGGCAGTACCCATACTCTCAACAGCCAGCGTACACGCCATACCCGTACCAAAGGCAAAAGCAAGCAGCAGCAGGATCTGCAGGATCAGGAAACAAATGGAGCGCACGTGGAGGCCGTATCCCGTAGCGGCACGTTCGAAAAAGTGATCGAGGACAGTGGGCCCTCAGGCACGGAGTGCTCGGACGCAGAGGACTTTCAGCAGCATGGAGGATGTCGATCCGGATACATGCCAGCCAAGCCTGTGCCCAACGCAACCCCTGCATTGGACTTGGAGGCCATCCAGGATGATTCTTGGCAGTTGGTGGCTCAAGAGCCTCACCGTAAGAAGCGAGTAGTTGTCTTTATTGGCAATCTTAGTTCCCAGTGCAATGACCAACGGCTAAGCGAGTTCATCACAACACGCTCCACCGCAGTACACCAGACAGTTGCAGTTCATGATTGCAGTGTCCGTGAAAACAAGAAGGGAATGATGACAGGAAGAGTAACTGTTGATGCTGATGCCCTCCCCACAGTCACCTCTGTAAACTTTTGGCCTAGACCACTGTATGCGAGGGAGTGGACATTCCATGAAAAACGTCATGGGCCAGTGCCAGGAAAGGGAAATGGACAGTCTGTGCTGTCGAAGAAGTCAGGCAAGGACTCAGCCACTCACAGCTCCGACCTGACACCATTGCCTCCCGACCGCAAGCGGCGGCATGGGGATTCACCTGACTCCGGCAGCCCACTGCTCAAGAAACTGGACGAAGACCACCAGCAGCAAGAGTCTGCCGAGGAGCAACAACAACTGAATGCAGACAGCCAGCAATCATGAAGCTCCTCCTGACCAATGCAGGCGGGCTGCTGTCCAAATCCGGAGAGTTTCAGCACACCCTGTTGCTCTCAGGTGCGGATGTTGCCATAGTGACTGAGACGAAACTAACAGTGGATAAATGCTCTCACAGTGCATCTATGATCCCGGGATACTGTGGCCCGATTCGCCGAGACCGAACAGAACACGGAGGTGGCATTGGAGTCTGGATCAAAGCCGGCATCGCGTACCAGCATCTGGATCAGTGCCAGTCTGCTGAATTCGAAACAGCCTTGCTCACAGTTGGCCAGTGCAACAGCAAAACTGTCATAGGTGCAGTCTATGGCCCTGGTTCCTGCGCTGACAATGATCTGGCTCTACTCGAGCACTTAGACCAAAACATAGATACCATGCGGCAGCATGGTAAGCACATGATTCTGGCTGGAGATTTTAATGTTCACAGTACGTCCTGGCTTGGCAGCTCTCGAACAACAATCGCAGGGAAGTTCTTGGAAGAAATCAGTGCAACACACTGTCTTGTCCAGCACGTGACCCAGCCAACCCGTGGACCAAACACATTGGATCTCGTCTTGTCCGACTTTCCCGGCACTGTCCACACAGCAGTATCATCTCCCATTGGGCGCTCTGACCACTGTGTAGTATTGTCCAACTTTCAGGAAATCACTCCTGTACTGGAGCGGCCAACAAGCAGGAAAGTATGGTGTTATGGCCAAGCAGACTGGGGCAGACTGAGGGCACATTTCCGCAGCTTTGACTGGGCTGCTGTCGTCTGCGATGTCCCCGAACTTGCATGTGAACAACTCACAACTGTAATTCTGGATGGAATGGACACGTTTATACCATCTAAGACCCTGACAGTACGGACGACAGACCCTTGTTGGTGGACACCTGAGTGCAGCACTGTAGTTCAAGCAAAGACTCGTGCATGGAAACGGTGGCGTCAGCACCCCGATGATGGAGATTTGCGAGCTTCATTCATCGACCTAGTGGCCCGAACAGCTGCTATTTTGCTGCGCGCCCAATCATCACATGATGCTCGTGTCAAAGCTAAGCTCAGCTCAGGCTCACTTAACGACAAGCAATGGTGGTCCAACATGAAGAGAGCTGCTGGGATGGAACGTGCCTCTGAGATACCTCTGCTGAAGGACACCGACGGCACAGAGTATCCAACTCGCCAAGCAAAGGCCAATTGCCTCGCCAGGTACTACTCCCAGAAGTGTAGCCTTGCAGATGATGACATCTCTCCAGACGATCTGCCAGAAATGCAGCATTTGGACCGCCATGGTCTTGACCGCATCCATTTCCGGCTTGCTGATGTACGCCGCCGTCTAGCCAAGCTGAATACATCGAAGGCAACAGGACCTGACAATATTCCAGCAAGAGTCCTAGCTCAGTGTTCCAGTGAGCTTGCAGAACCAGTCACCAAACTGTTCTCACTCTGCTTTCGCCACGGTGTTCAACCTACCAAATGGAAGCTGGCCCATGTGGTTCCAGTCTTCAATAAAAGCCCCCGCTCGGATCCCACGAATTACCGGCCAGTCTCACTACTATCCATCCTGTCAAAAGTAATGGAGAGCATAGTAAACAAGCAGCTCGTGAATTATCTGGAGCGTTTCAATATTCTGCCCGACAGTCAATATGGCTTTCGGCAAGGAAGGGGCACATGCGACATCCTCACTGCTTTGCACACTGAGTGGGTCAAGACTGTCAGCGATGGAGGGTACGCTCACATGGTGGCGGTGGACATAGCAGGAGCATTTGATCGGGTATCACACTCTGGACTGATTTTCAAAGCCAAGAACGTTGGCATTGGTGGCTGCCTGCTGCACTGGCTGCAGGATTACCTCCTGAACCGCAAACTATCAGTCCTGGTCCACGGCGACTCATCCTCTCCGGCGCCCATAACAGCAGGTGTGCCCCAAGGCAGTATCCTTGGCCCGACACTTTTCCTCTTGTATGTGTCTGACCTGGATCAGTGCCTGTCTCCCGAGACGCGACTAAGTTCCTTTGCAGACGACACAACCCTCTACAGCCTCATCCGCACGCAGGACAATATGCATGACATGACTGCCGCCTTGCAATCCAGCCTCAAGCGTCTTGAAGAGTGGGGAGAACGCTGGCGCATCAGATTCGAGCCCTCTAAATCGCAACAGCTGCTGATGACTACGAAAGCCACACACCCTGCTGTCCCTGACATCAAGTTTGGAGGTATCGCGGTTCCGGAAGCCAACACCATCAAGCTTCTTGGAGTGACATTTGACGCCAAGCTGTCATTCTGGGATCACTTGCACTCAATTGCAACACGTGGCTGCCAGAGACTGGGTGTTCTCCGTCGGGCTTGCCGGGTGTTAGATTACCATGGCCGGCTTTGTGCATACAAGGGATTTGTGCGACCCATCCTCAAGTATGCTCCCCTTGTGTGGATGGGAGCTGCATCCAGCCACCTCGCCCGACTCGACCGTGTACAGAAACGTGCAATGGCCATTATTGGCCCTGGTGCCCTTCTCCAAAGCCTGTGCCACCGCCGGATTGTATCTGGGCTTGTATACCTGTACAAGCTCCAGTGCATCCCAGGACCACCCCAGCTCACCGCCATGATCCCCCCTCCAGCCAACCATGTAGAAGCTCGGCGCACCCGGAGTCAACCTCCTCCTGGCCAGCAGCACCATGTGCAGCTGCAGCAAGTCCTGGACAGGAGAGCACCTGCCTATGCTTCTCGCTCCTTCCCGTTTTCTGTAGTCTCAGTATGGAACAGCTTGCCAAGCGAAATTGTAAGGGCTCCACTCAGCTTGAAGCGGCTCCACACGTTCAAAGAAGATGTCCATAAGTACCTCACGCACCAACACTGGCTGATGGCTACCGACTTCTACGGATGAACTCCTGACTGTGGCACGGGTCATGTTCCTTGGTTCGGCTCTGCTGATGATATTGGGCTTCGCAGGTCATGTTCCTTGGTTCGGCTCTGCTGATGATATTGGGCTTCATTTACCTTTTATTATTTAATTTTTTATTATTAATTTTTTATTTTGTTTGTTTTGTTTGTTATGATTTCTTGGTTTTCCACCCGGTTTAGTTATAATTTAAATTATTATTTGGTGCAGCTTTAGTGCTATGTGGTTTATTATTTTCCTTTTTCTTAATTTCGTATTTAGCGCTTTTGGGCGTCAGTATTTTCTTCTCATTATTTCGCACCAAGTTATTATTTGTGGTATTCTCTAGCTTCTGTTTGTTTTGCAGTTGTTCTTGTGCACCCCCCCCCCCCCACACACACACATTTTTTGATGCCTAGTTGCAACGCTGACGCCGAGACCTCTGGTCGGTTGAGTTGCTCCCCGCACATCAGCACGTCGTCCCTACATCCCCTATGTTTTGTGCTTTTCCTCGTTTCTTTTTGTTCTCCACCTGTTTTCCAGTAGGGCTGTGTCAATAGTAAAAAATAAATAAATAAATAAAAAATTTAAAAAAAGTCTGGCCATATGCTCGCCTCTGCAACAGGACACTATCACTGCTGATATTGAAGACGGGTGTCTGGTTAGTCCGGCGGCCACACGCTCGCTTCGATTTGGAGATACAGCAATGTTTAACATGGAAGGAGATGTACACGCTGTGTCTAGTCCCTCCAGATCACCTACAGTGTCAGTGTCCCAAATCTACGATGAAATACCTGCCATCACAGCGCAGCACTCTCCAAGTGTGGAGCAGTACAGTGCTATTGAATGTCTTGCAAGGACAGACGCACCATCAAGCCCTGCCTCTTAAGACAGTACGTGCAAGAAGCATCACACATTACGTACAGTAAAACGCTCCCCCTGCTTGATAGCAATCAATGTATTGAATAGAGAACTGCTTGATAGCAATCAATGTATTGAATAGAGAACTGCTTGATAGCAATCAATGTATTGAATAGAGAACTGCTTGATAGCAATCAATGTATTGAATAGAGAACTGCTTGATAGCAATCAATGTATTGAATAGAGAACTGCTTGATAGCAATCAATGTATTGAATAGAGAACTGCTTGTATCACTTACAGCTTCATTCAGCTCAACACATTTAAAAATAGCATCTGTTCTTAGTTCCCGTCTGATGTTGTTGCTTCAGCTGATCCTGGCGAAGCAGATAAGCCACTACTATTGTTCAGCTGGCTACTGTTGGTCAATACATTTGAAAAGGGTCTGTGGTGGAAGAAATGCTATGCACAACTTGGACAGCCAAACCGTTTGCACAAACCTTTTTGGTCTATAAAAGTGCTTACAATGGTATCTTGTCCAAAGCTCCAATCACACACTTTCTCCGACCGGCCTTATTTACTACAACACTAAGCCAAGTAGTAGTATTATTATTATTATTATACGCATTCCCGCGGCAGCGTCAACCAAGCAGTTATGCTTGATGCACACGTTCGCTTATGCTGGACATTGAAACAAAGCAGATGTAGACAGCTCCTAGAGAATGGGGCTCTACAAAACCAATGATCGAAGTTAGTCCTTCAGTAACATGGAGCGTCATAATATTGGTCTCATTGGAAAAATGTCATCACTATTGTCTCCGCATGTAGCATCATGGTCAATGGGTGGCCAGATACGTATGAGGTTGAGTTGCCAGATAATTATTAAAATATTCAAATAGTAATATTATTATAGAATGGTTGTTATGAGTTTATAAGGGTGCCATCGCTACTCGTGACGAGGGTGTGCACAAACACTATTCACCAGCGCATTCCATGCTGGACGGTCCACAGCAATCCGCTCCAGACGGCGCAAGTCCTCAACACTCCGCAGGTGCCCATTGTTCTACTGGGACAGATCGGTGTGAAGCTTTATTGGTAGTGTCACCCTCGGCCTCCCACGGTACCTCCCCTCGGGTGCCTGAAACTATTGCTCCATGCTCAATCGTGCTGGCGTGTCCTTATCCAGGCGAAGCACATGCCCAAATAGACTCCAGCGTGAATTTCGGATCAAGTCCGACACTGGCTCCACTCCACATCGGGCATACAACGCCAAATTACTAATCTTCTGTGGCCATGTGATGCCGAGAAGTGACCTGAGCTGCCTTCTATGGAAAGCGTCCAGGGAGCGTTCGCTAGCAACCGTCAGGCCCCAGGTGCCTGAATTATAGAGAAGTATCGGCATGATAAAGGCGCAGTACAACCTCATACGCAGAGGCTCTTGGATCAGTCCTCGCCGCTTCCAAAGAGACCACATGGATCAGAAGGCAGCCTCGGCCAACTGCCTGCGACGTGTCACACCCTCAATGTCGCCCAGGAGTGAGCCCAGCTTTCGGGATGTCCTCCAGCGCTCGTCAATTCTGTCTACAGATCGACCCAGCTCTGTCCACTCAGTTTTGGTGTTGTTGACTCTCAGGGCCCACTGCCCGAGAGTGTGGTCTATGACCGGTTCGAGCTCTGTGAGCCATTGACGACTAAGGCTTATGAAATGTTGATGCTTTGATCCATTGGGGGTCTGTTTCGTGCCACCTAGGTGCTCCTCAGATCTCTCAGTGCTGCCTCTAAGTATATAACAAACAACACCGGGGAGAGAGAATCACCCTGCGGGGTGCCAATTGTAGTTTCAAGGGACTCTGATACTGCCCTACCGATGCGTACCTGCAGAGTTGTGTTGGTCAACAGCACTCTAACCAGCCGAACATCATCCTCCGTCAGGAAAGACTCGAGAACTGTCAACAGTTTGTCACGACGTATACAGTCGAATGCTTTGGACATGTCGATTCCAAGAATAGTCATTTCCCGCCGATAATGCTGACATGTTGCCGCAAACCATCTATGGCTCCAAACAAGGTCCGCTGTAGATCGGCCTGCTCTGAAACCACTCTGCGTCGGAGACAAGTACTCACCGACTTTCGACGATATTCTTCGCAATGTAATGATGGAAAGCGTTTTGCATAATGATGTAAGGAGGACAATAGGGTGCAGATCTCCAGGTGATCCAACCGTCTTTCCTGGTTTCTGCAACGGTACCAGTGTGCCGCATCCCAGGTCAAGGTGCTGGTGAGTCGTAAACATGCTGTTGAACAGACAGGCAATGTGAGGTGCGAGGTTTTCTCTTCCATATTTAGAGAGTTCGCCTGGGACTCCATCTGGGCCAGGGGACCTTCCATTATTCAGTTTTTTCAGCGCATTGGAGACCTCAGCAGATGAGATTTGTCTTTGGGGGCTTCTTGGGCGACCGATGAATGGCTCGACGCCTGCATCCACATTCCCACGAAACTGGTCATGGAAGTGGCCCCGGACAGTAGATGCCGCCTCCTGGTCATCGGCTATGAAGCGACCCTTCTGGTCATGTACAATGGGCTTTCGGCTTGGCTTTCTGGTCATCAGCTGGACTGCTTTAAACATTCGTGCTCCATTCTTCAACCTCTCGACTTCCGCTGCTCTCTCTTGCATAATTTTCTCTGCATTGTCTCGGCATTTTGTTCTTATAGTGTGAAGGATTCTGTTTCGTTTCGTCTTGAGAGATACTTTGGTGTCAGGGTTGTTAGTGCTACCAATGCTGATCCGCAGTGATCTCTGTTCCAGGGACAGCAGCTCAATTTCATGATCTGGTGCTTTGTGACGAGTTTTTTGCTGGACTGTGCCAAGGACATCACCTGCTGCACTCCTGACCACTTCCATAAGCCTCCGGGATCTTTCCTGCAGGCCGGTATTGCCTTGGACCTGATGGGCAGCTAGCAGTTCACTGGCCAATTTCTCAGCATATTCCTCTTGGACTTGTCTTTCGGCTAGTTTGAATGTGTTGAACTTAGGCGCCTGCAGATCATCTTTCTTCCTCTGTCCAAATATTCCATATAGCCTCTGGAGGTCCAACCGCGCAACAACGAGCCTGTGGTCAGACGAGAGGGTGCATCTACCATAGCTACGACTGTCAAGGAGAAGCCGCCTCTGGGTAGATTTACACAGCATGTAACCTATCTGGTTATACACAGGAACAGTAGCTCCACTGGCTCCATCCCTGCGATGTCCTGTCCAGGTAGTCACATGCCGTGTATTATGCTGAAAGGCAGTGTTACAGATGAACAAGTCATTCACATGGCAAAAGTCTATCAGGCTTTGGCCACTCAGGTTCCTTTTCCCTCTACCATGCCTCCCACAACATGTTTCTCTTGCATCCGACTTTTTCCCAACCTTAGCATTGAAGTCTCCAGCGAAGAGGACGATAGCTGACGATTTTGCACTATTCAAGTCGGAATAAAATTTGTCCAATTCATCAGCGCCGCGGGCAACTAACGAAGACGTTGGTGCGTACACATTGATAATGGCGAGAGTGGACGCCTTGGTGCCTCCATTGCCCTCCCGTGAAGGCAGGTTGATTGTCAGTACAGCCACTCGGTCCGACAAGCTCCAATATTTCTGAATTTGCGACGATAACGAAGACGACACAAGAAATAGAAGCCCATAGTGGCGACATTGAGGCGCCAGGGCGATAAGTCGATAGCCATCCTTCTCAGTGTCAAGGCTGCCAGTCAGCTTTGTTTCCTGAAGAAAACACAAGTCGACACGATAGCTTTTTAGGTCGTGTCGCAAGGCGTCCTGACGGAAATTTGAGTTCAGCCCGCGAACGTTGAAGCTGCTTACGGCAAACGACCTGCGCTTCGGCTTTCTTCCGCCCATTCCCAGTATCCTAGCCAGTCGTCATGTCCAATAAATACAGAACTCTCCCGCTCCAAAGTAGAGGAGCAGGAGAGAGAGAGAGAACGCAACTTCCCTCAACTGAGCCAAGTAGTTGTGGATAATGGCATAATGTTCTGCACACATATGTTTCAATCATACAGATCCTGTCATTGACCGTCTGAGATTGAGGGATGAACAGGCCCAAAGATACTCCCTGCCCTCAAAACTATGAACAGGCCCAAAGATAGTCCCTGCCCTCAAAACTATAAGCAGGCCCAAAGATAGTCCCTGCCCTCAAAACTATAAACATGCCCAAAGATACTCCCTGCCCTCAAAACTATGAACAGGCCCAAATATACTCCCTGCTCTCAAAACTATCAAGTAGGGTACAGTAGAAAGGAGGTAGATGTTGAAAATCAACTCGCAGGTGGGTAAACAAACATTCATCTCCTTACCCCTCCAATCACTCCCCACCCAACACATGCACACATACATGCATACATACATACATACATTCATACATACATACATACATACATACATAAAATATACATACATACATGCATACACACATACACATAATGTATGATCACCTTGGCACCCGCATGCTCTCACAGTCATATTGTTTTCCTCAATACTCTGGTTGTCTGGACAACTTTTGTGGATGGGAAAAACTACCTAGGTGTAGTTGACATGAATGTATGCAGCAGAGCTCAAAAATTGCTGCTTTCCTGTGCTATCCTGTTTTCAACAACACTGTTACAGGACTACTACCAGTGGGTTCAAGAATCACTCCTTAGAGACCTGACAAGCATCGAACGGTGCTTAGAAGATGGCCTGCGAACCCCTCTCACATACAAGCTGCGACCAGAGCATTGCTAGTCTGTGAATACATTGTTCTTAGCGTGTTTTGCTTGCTTACGTTGATCTAGTTTCATTGCTTTCATGTCTTCCTTTCCTCTTCAGTCTTCATGCATTAAATGTGACCTTCGATTCTCCTTCGAGCAATACATATTATGACTTGATATTATGATTTACATGTTTCTGATGATCTGTTTGAAGTGCCTTTGTGTATGGACTTGCATATTTTCCGTCTTGATTTGCCGCTACAATTTTCGATTCAGATAGTTCAGCGGCGCATTATTTTCCTTGAAGGAATTTGAAAAGTGTGCCCATGCTTTATGATTGTTCATTAGTATAGTTCGATAGGTGTGAAAAGCGATATGATTCTTTTTTGGTTTACGTCAGGTGTTTATGCACATCAACATCAAGTTTGTTTGCCAGTCTAAACAGAGTTATGTATTCTGGTCTCGTCGGAATAGTAGAGTTGTCGTTTTCCTCTTGTTTCCGTGCAATTATTGTAATTGATGAGATTTACTATTTAGGATACTTAATACGTCGTTATCTTTTCATGCTGCTGTCACTGGAGGGTTTCTTCCAAAACCAGTTAATTTCGGAACTAGGAGATTGAACCATTATGAACTGATCGAATGAAAGATGCTATCAACATCACTCCCGTGTGCCTGATATCCTGTGTATATGCCCGGTTCTAGATGTGAATAGTGTGTACAGCCAATCGCACATGTGCTTTGTAGAACTGGTCGTCTTTCCGCCGACAATTTTGCACATGTATTAGCTGATTCTGTACATCCGCCATACTCACCCTGGCCTGCTCTTTCTGCGACTTACGGCCGTAGCGGCCTCAGGTACCCCGGCTGCTGTCTTTTAAACCGAGGTGTGAGCAGCCTGGACTAAACAGAACAGAGGCGCGAACTCAGTGTGAATCCGATATGAACGCCACGTGACCTGGGGTATGTATGTATGTATGTATACTTTATTTGAATTCGCAAATCCAAACGAGCACAAATGCTCAATGACAAGGCAGCGAATATGTTATTATGTTACAGGGAAGGAGGGTTGGGGAGAAAATAAGGAGAACAAAGAGAGAATGGTAGATACATGTATCTCAATGAAGAGCGAAGCGTTATCAAACTACAAGTAAGCCAGCGAACGATAAGTCGATAGTTCTGTAACCCGCCTAATAAACTAAGTACTTTTTTCAGGCGTGCAGTGGACTGTCATTAAAACAGAAACAGAAAAATAATAATAAGGCACCCATTTTGTTTGTCCAGGGGATGGCCCACGCCTGGTGAAGAGAATAAAATAGAGAAAAAAAAATAGAAGAAAAAAAAAAAACAAGAACAAAAACAAAGTACTAACAGTTACTGCTAACGAGAGTACTTGCTACTAACATCGGGAGGATGAAAGGCCCAACCCTGCCCTGCCAGTTACGGACTTACGGGGGTCGCCATGGCAAATAATAATGGTAAACAGTGAAAATCAATCACAGACAGGAAGCTGTCTCAGGGCAAGTTTCTAGTCATAACATCAGGAAGATCGGAGTGTATACGGTACGACGGCAGCTTTGAAGCTGCTGAGAGACGACAGTACTCTGACTGCATTCGGTAGGACGTTCCAAAGGGCACTACCTCGGGAGGCAGGGCGAGATCGTCCGGCGCGGGTTCGTGTAGCTGGTAGACGGAGCCCCAGGGCGAGATCCAGGCGCGTCCTACGATCCGCGCAGCGTACGAAGAGCTCCTGGAGGGATGGACTCGCACTGGCGTGTATGCACCTCCAGACAAAGACCAGGACCTTCTGCCGATGTATTTCTCCAATCCTGAACACCTGCATGCGTTCCAGGAGATCACTGGCACGAGAGAACCCCGGCCGGCCATAAACTGCTCTTGCCCCACGGTTTTGTGCTACTTGGAGCCGGTCGGTCTGGGCCTGAGTGAGACCTGGGCTAAACGCAACGGACCCATACAGTAGATCCGGCATGATAGCTGCCTTGAAGAACAGCACACGGCTAGCAAGTGTTAGCGACTTTCGTGTCCGCCACAGAGTTCCAATTTTCTTATTGGCTTTCGTGATGCTCGCATCGACCTGGGGCTGCCATGACATGCGTACATCCAAGGTGATGCCAAGGTAGCGGGCACTGGTGACGCTTGGCACGGGTATGCCATCGCACTTTACCACAACGTTGGGACTCTGGCCATTGGATCCTGCAAAGACAAGGAGCAGACTCTTGGCGGCGTTGAGGATGAGACCACGGGAGGCTAGCCAGCGAGCTAGGTTAGAGACGGCTGTTGTGAGCTCAGAAGAAACGAGGTCAGCGCTGCGGCGGGTGGAAGTCAAGGCTATATCGTCTGCAAACTGGATTGACATAGTCGGGCAGGTAACAGTCGGTACGTCTCTAGTGTATATGCTGAAGAGCAGCGGCCCCAGGACCGAACCCTGCGGAACACCGCAGGTGCATGTAACAACCCTGCCGAGTCCGGTACCAGTGCGCACTTGCTGTTGGCGACTTGACGGGTAATGTTTGAACCAAGTCAGTGCTCCTCCAGTAACGCCAATGTCAAAAAGATCCTGGATAAGAATGCTGTGCTTGACTTTGTCGAAGGCTTTCGACATATCTAGAAGGCAGGTTGCCACAACTAGACCGTCATCTCGCCCAGTGTCGACTCTGTCAGTTAGTAGGGAAAGAGCGTCTTCCGTAGAGTGTCCATGACGGAACGCAAATTGGGTCACTGGCAAGATGTTCATCTGTGCGACATGTTCCACCAACGATTTCTGCACGACCTTCTCAAGGATTTTGGACAGTATCGGTAGCAGTGATACCGGTCGGAAATGTTTGGGAACAGAGGGATCACCAGACTTGTGGAGCGGAACAACGTGAGCTAATTTGAACTGCTGTGGAACTTCGCCGCTGGATAATGATGCATTAAACAATGTGGTAAGAGATGAAGCTAATATATCAGCACAATACTTGATTAGGAGACCCGGGATTCCATCACTTCCAGTAGCTTTGGCCGGGTTGACTTGCTGCAGCAAGTGCTCCAAAGCACCCACTGTGACGGGTGGAAAGGACACTAGGGAATGCTCTGCAGGGGGTCCCGCAGGCAGGAGTAGTTTGGATGGCCGAGTGATGTCGGTGACGACAGTCTCGAAAGCAGACGTAATCGCCTCTACACCACACGATGGCTCCTGATGTGTCCGCTTTCGACCGGTAACGGAGTTTATGACGGACCATAGCTGACGGGGGTTTCCCGTGTTCTCCGCGCACTTGTTTCGAAAGAACTCGTTCCGTTTACGCCTGTAGGCATTTGATGCAGCGGACCGGGCCTGTTTGAACGCTGAGTGGGCCTGCTGGCAAGTTTTGTCCGATAGCCAACGCTTGTGCAGCCTGTTCTTCCGCATAGTGAGCTGATACAGCTCTCTGTCCGACCACGGTGGTTCGCTTGGGCGTTTCCGGCTTTGCTTGCAAGTGAATGGAGCATGGCGATCCAGAACAGTTATAAACTTTGAATGCCAGTCTTGCCACATTTCATCCACGTTAGCCTGAGCAGGAAAAGCATACAAGTTTGCAGCAGTAAGGTCATTTCGGAAGTCGTTTATATTGATGTTGCGGAGATTTCGGGTGGATGTAGCCGGCTTACTGGTCGACTGCTTGGGCACGGAAATGTCCAGCTTGGCAAGAACTGCAAAGTGGTCACTGATCGTGCACTGAATGACATGGCACATCGCTACTGTTTCGGGACGGGCTAGAATTAGGTCGATTACGGTACCTTGGGGGCAGTCGGGCGTCACGCGCGTGGCACTATCCACATGGTTTGCCAGACCATATGCACCTGCCAAGTCAAATAGATGGCGAGTTTGATAGTGTGTCCTGCTGGTATCAATACCAGGCGGTCTGGCATTCGTGTTGAAATCGCCGAGGAGAGTTATCGATGGGGTTATCCGTGAGGCTCCGTCAAGCGCTCTCTCTAGTCGGGTCCAAAAGCTGATAGGCTCAGTTGGTGGGCGGTAGACACAAGCAAATACATGGTGGGCTGTCCCAGAATTCGTTGTCTGTAACCAAAGAGCTTCCAGGCCATCCTGCGCAAGGTCCAGCCGAGGTTGGAGAGCAAGAGATGAGCGATAGTAGAATGCCACGCCGCCTCCTGGTGGTAATATGGTGATGTATAGGAGAAAACTTGCGTAACACAATACAAAGCAATCAAAACGAAGATAAAGAACAATCATGCGAGCGAAGAATCAATCTATGGGCTACGGCGCCAGATCCTCGGCTGTGAGCGGATTCTGATGGGCTTCTTGGCTTTCCTTTGCTTCCTGGTACGAACATCTGTGAAAGCTTCAGAATCAGAGCCACCGTTCTCGTCTTCCATTTCGGAGCCGACATCTTCCCAGCTTCTATTTTCCGGGAGCTCATCCGCCGACGACTTGACCTTGTCGCAGCTGTTTTCATCTTCAACAGTGTGTGTATGTACGTGCTTGCGGGGGGTCTGGTTCTTGCGCGTCCCAGCTGATCTTGTGCTAGGCTTCCCATTGACCTTGTCAGGTACGGTGGACTCTCCCGCACTGGCGCCAACATCAACTGCTGCAGTTTCTGTGCGAGGGCTTTCATTTATCTGTTCTTGGCTTGGCGCCTCTTGGTGACCCGTACTAGTACTCAATTGCCCTTGCAAGGAGTCTGCGTAGGACATGTTGGTCTGCGAGTTGTGTACGCCATTTCTCGCACCTACAGCTGCTGTACCTGGGCAGTCTTTTGCCAGATGGCCAGAGACACTGCAGCGCCAACAAGTTTGAATTTGACCTTTGTGCCATACTCTTACGGTACGGGAACCTACTCGCAAGCCAGAAGGCACAGCCTTCCTCAGGGAAACTTTGACATACCTGGTCCCGGTGTCAACTGCAAAGCCCTCATGGCTAACAATCTTCCTCTTTGGAGGACCATGGACCCGACCATAGAGTGAAATTTCATGCACAAGAGCACCATCTTGCAATGACAGGGGGCATCCGAATACATGGAGAGTCGTAACTGACATGCCTCCCATTACAACTTCGACATTCTTACTGGCAAATACGAATTCTTCCTCTGACGTCAACAGGCGGTCGCGCACTCCTTGCGTGACGAAGGTGACATTGCACCAGCCAGGCTTCCCGTTTAGGTCCAGTTGGCTGAGTTCGGAGGGCTGAACACCCAGTCTAGACAGCTCCTTGATAAAAAATACATGGTCCAAAGGCCAGTCCTTGTGGACCCTAAACATAAATGAGGCAGGAGCAGGAGCTCCAGAAGTGCTCCCGTCCTCCATCGTGAATTTGACATATAGGTCTCACAGGACGCACACGGGCATGAACGACCAGGCTCTCCTGGCCTTAGGTGTGAATAGCGTCCCATGTGTCGCACGCCTGCAGTAAGCCAGGCTATGGCCATGTCGCCCCAGGCAATTCATCCATTGATCCAGGTTCTGAGGACTGCGCGCCACCAAAGACTTCGAAATTGATGCTAGGGCTAGTAGGAGCCTAGGCTAGGCCATACAGTGGTGTGAAGTCTGTTGTTGTTTCAAATCTTTATTCTCACGATAGCCAGTGGCCAATAAGAGATAATAG